GTTTTGCATAATAATGCTCTAAATCTAATGTTACCAGCAAAGATCCCTGTCATACAATAATTATCAATATTTATTACTAAAGCAACTTCTTGAATATACTGTACTTCAAGTATGGAAAGTTGAATAAGAATCTAATATAATTTATATTTATAATAAAAGTACTAGCAAAGTAGTCAAAATACTGATTGGGGATATATATGAGGTAACATCAATTTAAACGTTTTGCCACACCATTAATCAGCCTTTCAATTTGCCAACAAGATTATATCTGTCAGCTGCCTTTAGTTTAGGCACAAAGCTCTGATAACTGTAATCAATCATACATTTTAAAACCTTTGAAATATTCATTTGGAAAACACGATATAATTCTCTTAGGTGTGCTGTGAAATAATCAAAATCATTAAACATATCCTATAAGAAGGAAAACACCAGTTGGACAACTGTCTTATTCTAATAATGTCAGTTACTTTTAATTAAGCCTCTCCAATCTTCTATCTTTGGAAAATAATAAGTAGAGAGGTATGCTTATTATAACACTTAGTAACCGTGATTCTGGTAAATAATTTTTCACTCACTTGATATCCACTTTTGATCCATCCACATTTTCCCATAATAAGTTCTAAATATAGGTCCTTTAAAACATGGAAGATAGTTTTTGATCACTATAAAGAATGACTATATTTGTCTTTTTCCATGGTTTTAATCCCTTAGTCACAATATAAACAGTTTATAGAACATATTGTATTTAGAGATTATCACAAGTTTCATGGTAATTAGGTGAATCGTAGGGCAGCTTACCCAATTTTATTTCTATGGCTAAATATATAATTTATATATATAATATAATATATAATATATAATAGAAATATATAATATATTTCTATGGCTAAATATAAAGCTAAATGGCAGAACTGGTATCCTATATGGTAATATAGAGAAAGTCATCTGGAGATTCTGGGGCTTCAAAAGAATTTGTGATAATCAGTGAATTAAAATCTATCCCTGAATACTGTATGAGCAAAACTGTACTCATGTTAAAAATATGTTTTATGAGATAGATATCATATAACATAAGACATAAAACAATCATAATACACATATATTATTGAGCTATATTCTATATACTTTTATGCAAAGAAGTGGTAGTTAAAAAGTGTTGAAGGTAAAGGTGTTTGCACCCAATACAGCATTAACATATAAAAGTTAAATTAGAGTAATACTCAGAGTTGAAAATATTATTTGGAATAAATCTTGCATCCTCACCATTTCTGCTAACATTTATACTCCAATATATGATTTTTTCCTTATATATAATGCTAAAAACTTTTTCTTCTTATTAGAACTAATGGTGCCTCCCAAGAAATCACCCAAGCTTCAAATATGTATGCCTTTTCTATAAGTTATAAGTGAAAGTCATTCTCAATCATACTTTACAATATAAGAGAAACCAAACAGGCAGGTGACAAGATGGAAATTAAGGAACAAAAGATTTCATCTTTTGCATGATCTTCACTGATGGATAAACCCATGTTAACTCCTAGAAGATAACTTAATGGAGATAAAAACAAAATCTCTGCTTCTTCATAATGTCTTAATCCCTGTATATGTGTTTTAAAAGCTTAATTCAGTTGAAATGTTAGGTTGGTGAAAATTTAATTGCGGTTTTATATTTAAGTCTAAACCCAGTGGCTACATTTTATAGTTCTGGAAGAAAACTACCTAATAGAGCTGTAATAGAATGAAGTCTTAAGGAGATGGAAGGAAAATACAAGTAATGCAGTAAGTGCATTAAAATCACTGTAATAACAAGTGCAAACACTTGGTGAATGCCAAGCTTCAACTACTATCATGAGGCTTAGGTTAAATACAGATCCTCTGTTTAACAGATATCTATTTTTGATCACATTTTTAAAATGAGAATTTAAAGTTAATGATTAAATTATTTTCCAAAATTCTTCAGGATGCACATCACCACTCCCATTACCAAGATTCCCAGTGAAAACTGATTACCCATGTGTGTATGTATATATGTATGTATGTATGTATATTTCCCTCCATAAAGTTGAACGCAACCTCAGTAGTGTAATACATGATTCTACTTGCCCAATAAGCTTAACTGAAGAATCTCAGTACGGTATGAAGAGTATTTAATGATTACATTTTTAAAATTTCAAAATATGTAGAAATATATATGTCAAAGTTATGTCAAAATTATATCAATCTTATCAATATTTCCTTTATATTGAGTTTACAGAAAAACTTACAAGGCACCTGGTTTTCTCTGAAGATACATATCACCTGAGCAATGACCATAATATGCCTACTTCTAACCGATTTTACCACATTAACACTGCTGTAACTAGCTGATTTTTAACTGTCAATAAGAGTTATACTGGAGGAATTCAACACATTTAATAGGGATGATAAATTAGTAAATGTCTGGTTTTCATATTTTTAAACATTGAAATATGGCATAAAACTTTCAGCATCTTACATTGAAGCCCTTTTGTTCTTGCCTGTGTAGAGGGCTATATGTTTAAACTGGAATAAATTTAGAAAAATCTATATCATTTAATCTGTGTGGCAACAGGCGGGATAAAATCAGTTCCTTTAGAAAGGTAGTTATACTATTTTATAACACTGGGAACTCCAAGCCTTCTTGGATATTATACGAATGTGAAAGAAATATAGTTTCAGAATGCAAAAGTAAGTACTTTGCTACAGACGTTATCTGAAGATTTAGAAAACAGTCACTTATATTGCATAAACATGTGCCCTCAGTGTAAAGCATGTTTAATTCAAATGATTGCTAGTGCTACATTTTTCAATGGCATCCTGTATGTCTCTAAATTCCTTAAAATGTTTGCTGTATGGCTGTAACTTTTAAATTACTAAATAATGACATTAAAGTAAGACCTAATAGGATTTTTTTCAGACCAGTTAAGCTCAGTTCTCTGCCACAGAAATCTATGACAAAACACAAAGAAAGGAGCAAGAGAAGGGAGATGAACAGATTAGATTCAAGAAAGAGTTCTTTCCTGAAACAATGCAAGAAACCAGGTACTTAAGGCTTTGCCACTCTGTCTGTAAAATGGGCAGCCCATTTGTCTCTGTTCACTTTAATGCTATTTTTTCATACGCATGATTGATTGCAAAGTTTTAAAATGTATATAGGAAGACAGATTGTCTCTTCATGTTACGATTGTTACCCATAACATATCAACAGAAGGATTTTTGAAAGAGGCTTTTGAAGAATTTTGCCTTTGTGTCTGAAGGTGAAATGAATGTGACCAGATCACACCATATCTAAATTTCATGATATTTTGGGGAAAAAGGAACATCAATTCACAAGGATGACTAAAAAGTTTCATTAACTTTTTTCCTTCAATTTAAGCTGCAGCACATTACTTGAAGAAATAGGTAGCTATCTTAACTTTGCAAAACACAAATTCAGTTGCACTCAGAATACTAAAAAGCATTCAAAATGATGTTTGCTTACTTCCAAATGCAAGTTTTTATGCTTTTTTAAACTATAACACAATAATTAGACCTCTTTTATGGCAGAATGCATTGTTTTTCATGATGTTGTGAGTCACCACAATATATAACCAAATGACCAGTTGACATTTCTGACATGAATTAATCATATTGTACTCTAATATGCACAAAAACTATTTTTAAATGCTTTATGAATGAAAAAGAAGCTTAAAGAATTGAAGTTTGTACAGGTATACTCCAATCATATTTCAGCTGACACAATTTTTTTTCCAAATATAACAGTAAAATCAGTGCCTCCCCTGAAGTGAGCTCCATACACATTTTTTTGGCCTCATCGTGATTAGATCTGGATAAATGAGTGTTGTGCAGGTTCTAGTATAGTTTTCCACGGCTCCATCTGCTGGATATGCCTACATCTCCTGCACCAAAGTGGTAACCTCTGAAAAGTAGCATGAACTAATTCAGCAGGTGGCTTCAAAAGGCTAAAGCAGGTTGCTTGGAAACTTACTATGACTTTTAAATTTTTGTTTCACTAAAACTTCCTACTTCGTCGTAAGAAAGAAGAAGAAGAAGAAGAATGAACCTATAACCATTACTAAAATACTATGGCAAGGAAGATACGTTTCCCAGTAGGTGATCTATTACAAACAAGAAGCCTCTGGGCAATTCATGGCAGGTTTGCAAACCGCTTCAATCTTACCGATTTTGGCATTTATCTGAGAGGTTTTAGAGTCGTTCACCTAATCCAGAAATGGAAATCATATGCATAAAAGTTTTAAAGAGATTTTTAAGCATGCCTGTCATTAAGCACATAAATATCACAAAAGGAAATCATGCCTCTCCAAACACGATTTACCAAGGATCAGGGAGCCCTTAGAATTTTCCCCCGCAGCGTCTTTGCAGGCGGCTCCCGAGTTGCGCTCTCCGATGAGGCAGCCCGACTTTTCCTCCTTCTCCCAGTCACAGACGGGACAACGTGCAGCTGCCGCCACCGGCCAGGCCGCTGTCGCCACCGTCACCGCTGCCGCCGCCGCTGCTGCTTCAAAACCAGAGCTGCTGCTGCAAAGAAAGGGTTACTCCCCTCTTGGAGTCAAGTGGCTGCAAACTTCACCTGCTATTCATGTACCTTTTCCTGCAAACTTGTACGTCCTTCCGTGCAGAAGGAGCAAGGAAACAACCATTACCAGCATCCCACGGAACATCATCATGAAGGACACCCCCAGAAGGTAAGACGTGCGAGTTATTCCGAAATGCGATCTTAATCGAGACAGGAACCACAGCTGCCAACGGATCCTCCCCCCACCCCCCACCCCCCTCTCGGTTCCTGTGAGCGAGCGGAGCCCACGCTGCCAGGGAGGGCGGCTGCGGCGGCCGCGGGCATGTGCGAGATGGAGGTAAAGTTTGACAAATGATGACCACTCTGGGAAGGGGAAGAATCTAGGCAGCCAAAAATCCGCGCGGGGTGTGCTCGGGGAGAAGCCGCGCCGGGAAGCGCCACGTACCTTGCTGCGGTGCCAGGCGCGGAGGCTGAGGAGAGAGCCGGTGGAGGTGGCGGGGCGAGCGTCCAGCCCTGGCCGCGGGCTCCCTCCCGGGGCGAGCGGAGTCGTCGCCGCCGCCGCGCCCGGGCGCAGAGCCGAGCGGCTGCCGCCTCGCCAAGGGCGCTGGGCAACGCCACTCACTTGGCCGGGGCAAGTTGGGCAGCCTCCGCCGCGGCCTCGGCACCCGGAGAGAGCAACACGTTTAGTTTGAACTTTCCAGCTCCAGTCCCGGCAAATCCACACTCACGCACAAACGCGCGCGCGCGGACAGCCTCTCAGAGGCGCACGAGCGGGCCCCGGTGGCTCTCTGGTCGCGTCTTGCTCTCTCCCTCGCTCTTATTGGCGCGGAGGTTATTGTTTTATTTATTTATTTCCTCCTCTCGGCTCCAGCCCGCCTCCCTCCTCGGCTTCCCCTCCTCCTCCTCCTCCTCTTCCTCCTCCCGGGTCTGCGGGGCCGGCTGTGGCGGTAGCTTCAGCTGCAGAGTGGCGGAGCTGCGCGGCGGGACCTGGCGGGGGCGCACCGGGTGGGGGCGCTGCGCGGCGCGCGGGGCCTGACGGGCGGGGGCGCAGGGCCTGACGGGCGGAGACGCCGGGGCTGCCGCCTGGGCTGAGGTGAGGGAGTGTGAGGAGATGAGGGAGTGTGAGGAGGCGAGGGGAGGACGCCGCCGCCCGCCCGCACCGTGCCTGCCGGGGGCACCCAGCCGGCTGCTGCCGGGGAGAAGCGGGGCGAACCCCGCGCCACGGCTGAGGAACTGCGCGAGGGGCGGCTGGCTCTACAAGCCTGGACCCGCTGCCTCCTCTTCCGCAGACCGGGAGAGAAGGCTCAGGTGCCTCTTAGCCACTGCCACCCGCTTCCTTTCCTGCTGCCCCCGGAGCTCCCCCCGGCCCCTCGGGGACGCTCGGAGGCGCGCCGCCACTGTTTAGCCACGGGAGAAGCGGGTTTGCATTTGTGAACGGTGGTTTCCGCGCTACGCTGTGAGGATTCCTCCACTCTCCATCCGCTGCCCCGACTCTCGGGAAAGGTGCAGCCACCGTCGGGCGGGGCGGGCTCAGCCCTCCCGGGCAAAGCAGTGGGAGTCAGCGGACCCCGGCCCCCCGGCGCGGGCTGGGGCTCCTGTGACACTCCAGACCCACCTACAAGAGCCAGGGCGGCAGTGACTCTGCTACCATTCGCCCCCAAAATGAGCTTTCAAATGGCAACTGACCGCGGCTGCCACCGTCTTTCAGTCACGGTCTACCCGGCTCCCAAAGCTGCGGAAGACGCGCCCAGCCAGCCAGCAGCCCTCTCCGACCCCAGTCACCCGAGGGCCTGGCGGGAAAGAGCCCGGGACAGAGACCGGAGGCCGGTCGGTGGCTCGCTACAGCCCGCCGGGCTTACGAGCTGCTGCTCACACGCCAGCCCTTCCAGGCTTCCCGTTAGGTAAACCTGTTTTCGTTTTTGTATATTTTTTTTTTTTTTTCTTTTTCCCCTTTAGTTTACTATTTGTTTATTTTTAGGAATTCACGATTTCAGTCACAAAAGGGAGAAAAATGAAAAGGAACTAATTCTGCAGTAGATCTCCATAAATACACAGGACCAGTTAACTAAGCCCCTTCGCAAAGGCTGCAATGTAAATCTTACGCCTAGGATTTGGAGGCAGGGTTCGTTTCCTCAGCATTTTGCCCTCCCAAGTCTTAACAGCCATGGACTGTATTACAAGGTCTACAGATACAGAAACACGGTGGCACTGGAGTGCTTGCCCTGATCCGTCACAGTCTGCATATGTATGTAAACTATGCTTTCCTTTCTAGCCAAACCTTCCAATTTCCCTGAAATTTAGCCGTTGGATATGCACTCCTTAGTCTTCTCGATCTTTTCTCAGAAATTCACTGTTAAGTATACAAATACTACTACTTAAAAAGCTGGTTTTACATACTTTACATTTTCCTTGATATCCCGAGTAAGCCCCCCAGAGGTCAGACAGGGAACAGGTGAGATGAGAAAATGGGAGAAGGTGAGGAGAAAAAAAATGCATGTTGTAGTTCTCTTGCCTCAGCATACTTGCCATTTTCAAAGAAGAAAAAAGGGAAATCTCCATGTCTGGACCTTTAACTCCTTCTGTACTCAGGAAATACCGGCTTATTCCTGAGAAAAGCGGCCACTCATAATTGAATTTAAAACCCTATTGAATGGAAGAATCCACAGATAATCTCCAAAAGGCAGTAAAGTGCCTTACTGGTTAGCTGAGTGGTGGACATGAAGATATGACCGTCTCTGATGGCATCTGTGCCAGTGAGGTAGTAAGAGTTTTACTCAAAATCTGAAAGAACCACATGGAATTTTAAAGCCAGAACTCTGGCAACACATGTATTTCTCCAAAATTATGGTCCCCTACTCCAGAGGTGGCCCGCCTCTAACATAGGGAAATACCTATCTGATACTGATAGCTTTGATCGTGTTTTACATACAATATTTTCTGTATACACACACATACAGGCACACATATATACATATATAACACATATATACATGTATACATACACATGTGTATACATATGTATCTAACTCATATATACATACATATATATATATATATATACACACATACACACGTGCACCCTTGTGTTCCCCACCCCACCCCTGTAGTTTGAACAAGTCTTAGAATTACATACTTTTTCTAAATTTCTCTGAGGGAATGCAGCTGTTCTCCTTGTCTCTCCCCATTTCCCCCCACACTTGCACCCAATATGCTTCTCTTCTCCAGTGTTCAGAGTTGAGTGTTCACTGAGCGCTGCCATCCACATTATGATGCCTGTATTCACTCTTACTAGAGAAACACACATTTGATGCTGAGAATGATACTGACTCTAGATACAGCAAACATCATAATCACAAACATTAGATGGAGAAAAGATGAAACCTGGATTTCATCATCATAGTAAAGAAGTGAATATTATATAAGGCCTATTATCTGTAAACATCACCTGTTTCAACGATAGTGTTTATGTTTGCACCCACAGCCTAAGTCCTGATTCATAGAAATTTTAAAATATGTGTAGGGTGAATTAAAATTGTGAATACATAAAGAAGGTAGATAGCCTATTTCTTTGTTAATAGTCACTGAATCAGAAGGAAAATGATATTAAACATTGAGAGTAAAGGATAACTTAATGTTTTAAGAGGTAATTGTTATACCAAAAAAAAAAAAATACTATCTTTGTGTAGAATACAGGAATGTATAACTGCATTGAATTGATTGAATTTATTTAAAAATATTATTTAATTTCTGGCCAGGCATGGTGGCTCACACCCGTAATCCCAGCACTTTGGGAGACTGAGACGGGTGGATCACGAGGTCAAGAGATCAAGACCACCCTGACCAACATGGTGAAACCACGTCTCTACTAAGAATACAAAAATTAGCTGAGCGTGCACCTGTAATCGCAGCTACTCCTGAGGCTGAGGCAGGAGAATGGCTTGAACGTGGGAGGCAGAGGTTGCAGTGAGCCAAGATTGCCTCTGCACTCCAGCCTGGCAACAGAGCGAGACTATCTCAAAAAGAAAAAAATATTTAATTTCTTACCAGAGGGATAGAACATGAAAGGACATAGAAAGGTTACAAAGGGGAAAAAGAGATGAAAGATGTGACCATAAGGGAAACAAGGTGCATTGGAGGTAGAGCAGGAGCATGATAAGAAGATGGAAACATAGAAAGAAAAGTATTAGAGTCCCTTAATTTCTGGCTGAGAACATCAACAGTCATCAGAAAATCCCTCTTAAACCCCCATTAATATCCAGAATTTATGAAAATTCGCCTAAACAGTTGGGTTGCTTGTCTTACCACTGATTGAACTACATCATACAAAAGAGTGAAACCAAACCAGTACTTCTCACTTCCACAATCAAGAACTTCACTTTTCCCACTTTTTCATAAAAGATACACTAAGTCATGATTTATATGGTACAAAAATTTTAGTTCAATATTTTTTAAATGTACGAATGTACATTGGCAAGTCACAAAACTCCAACTTTTCTAGAGTCTCTACTTGTGTATGCAGACATATTATCAACATCTAACCAAAGGTACTACAGTGTGTAATCATCTAGGTTTCAGATATGGAAGCTGAAGCTTAAAAAAAAATTGTATTATTTGTCCCTGGTGGTAAAAAAATATGTAAGCATGGCAATTGTGAATACTTAGGGTTAATACTGAACCATTTGCATGTTAGAAAATGACAACCAAGAAAAATACTTTAAAAAGTGTTCTTGATCTGTAATGTGTTTCATCTCTTACTTCTCAAATTCTTCAGCATTTATGGTTAATCTAAAAAAAAATCCCTGACATAATATACTCATTTTTGATTCTTTGTTTTAGCTTTATGAAACATAGATTTTCTAACTCTCCTATGCTCACTTCACTTGTCAGAGTTGAAAATAAAGGTTCCTATTCCTCATATGTCCTCCACCACCACCCCCATCTCAGCTTTTTTTTTTTTTTCCTGTATCTGACATATTCAATATATGCATTCAGGACATTGAAGCAAAGACAGGAAGCCTTTGGACAAGCTCTTCAATTATATCTCAAGTCAGGGAGAAAGAAGGGCAGTAGGTGAGTTGTTAGGGAATTTAAGGTTATAGAAATTCTGGGCAATGAGAAAGTTAATTTACCAGAGGGACAGCACCATTTCCCTTTATCTGTGTGAAGACAAATAGATCTGTGTGCCAAGTGTGACTGTCCTTAAGCCCGAGGATATGAGCTCTTGAATACAGTCATCCTTACAGGTCAATGTGTCTGGATGCTCTAACTTCACTGTCACTAATTTCTTCCTTCCTATCCCACAAAGAGGACTCATTTGATTCTTTCTTTTTTTCTTCTTTCCAGTGCAGGACCCTTGCAAATCCTGTCCCCTGTGCTTGGACTGCATGGATTTCCTTCTTCATGCACCTAAGCTATCTCTTACTCATCTCCAAGCTCCAGGTAAAGCCATATGCTAAGATAACAAACACTTCCTGAATTGGTTCTGAGCCCCTATAATCATTTTCATGACACTTAGAATTTTCCAATAAATTATACCAGACAAGTTATAATTCCATAGGTCCGAGATATTGTATTTAATGGATATATTTTCTCTGGCAGTGGAATATTTCCATGAGGGGATTTTTGATTGTATCTTCAGCATTCAGGGCAGTGCCTGACACAAAGTAGTTGTCAAAAATATACACTTGTTAAATGAATATAGGAAAGAAAAATCAATACAATTCAGGCAGGCCATATTCTATGCAGGACAGTGGAATGCTAGATAGACAATTGGGATATAGTAGGGTTAAAAAAAAAAAAAGACAAACTACTTAATTTTACTCAAGTTGATTCTTTCTTCACCATTATTATGAA